GTGGAAGTGATCGCAGCTCATAAAGCCTCCCTGTCGTCGCGCGTCTCCGCGCTAAAGAGTCGTCGGAACTGTTCGGAATAATTAAATTTGACGTAAAATTAATGTAGCGCGGTAATTCAACACGTAATAAATCTCCGGACGGGATGCAATTACTCAATTATCCTCTTTCTCGTCAAATTCCCCGATTCTTCGAATTTTACTTTTACTACACTCCGGCGTACTGGTAATTCCAGATCAGAGAGATCAATAACTTAATTTCCCTCATCCGAAATGCTTCCCTTCGAACTTTCCAATCGAAACTTATTCGCAGTGGCGAATAATACGTGAAAAAAATTTTCGCTCACGCGATATCGATAATCCTGCTTAATGTTTCAGGTCGGTATAAGGATATATTTTTAAGGATCACGACAATGCTCGTGCTCTTGCTCGCACCTAACGCGCGTAATGTCGAGGTATTGTTGTTATTTCCACCCCACGTCGGGATTAACATCGCGGCGAAACACGTCGACAAAACGACAAGCGTGCGAAAACGTCGCCGCGTCCCTTTCTCCTCCGCACGACTAACACGGAATGGAAATCCTTCTTCCTGTCGGCGCTTCGTAAATCGAGCTGATGTCCCTTTCCGCGGTGAGACATTGACTAACGATGTATAAAGGCAGGATGTGGTGGTGCGCGCCGTTGTCTCGCGCGAAAGGATAAAGAGGATCAAAGAGACCGAGACGCGAGACGTCTTATTATCCCGCGAAGGAGCCTATACATTTATTCTTGAATGCGTTTAAAAGAAAAGTTGGCGCTCCTAGACTCTCTCGGCGGAGAACTGAGGTCAGAATAATTAGCTCCTTTTTTCGATAGAAACCAAGCTTTCAATCCCACCTCCTCCGACAAATTAAAGCGAACTTGCTATTTCGCATTTACATTTTTAAATTAGTTATTAAATTAGTTGTTAAAAACCTTCTTCCGTTTTTCCATAATGGAAAATGTCTCTCGAGGATAAATATTTCTTTAATAAAAAATTAGTTTATAAAACTAAGTTTGTAAAATAAAGCGTAGTATTATAAAAATATTTTACAGAATACAATACTGATGAATATATAAAAAACGTCTCTTTAAAATTCTAATTAAAGTGCACGTTTAACTTGCCTTTCTATTTCAACATAGAAACAAATTAGTCTTGTAGCAAGAATATTATAAGCTTTTCAAAAATTCTAATTTCGATTTGATTGAATTTCTCTTGATTGTCAATATTATTTTTGCTCGATTCAAGACTAAAAAAAATCTATATGAAAATTATATATTATTCTTGCTTATATATATGAGATTATCTACATCAAGACTAACATTTTTCTAAGATTACAATATTCCCGCTTATACACACAAGAACATCCGACCTAATTCAAGAGTGATCTTCTTTCTGTATAATATAAATGATTATTTAATAATTCGTTTAATAAAGAATTCACAGATTTCTGTAAAAACAGATAATAAGACAGAAAATAATAATGGTGAAATTGCATCAGTATTTCAGTAATTTTACTATCCATTTAATTTTCGCTTCGGTCTTTACTTCTAAAATAAAAGTCGCGTGACAAATAATGTCTCTCTTTATTGCCGGCTCGGCACTTGACGCGTCGTCCATGGCGTGCCTCTTTACAGGCTGATTTCCATGCGTGATTTCTATCGGTCTTCTCGCGTCGTCGCGACTCGTGAGATTAGGAACGGCCGACGGGATCGACGCGCGAGAATACCCTTGGATACTTTCGCATTCAACGAATTATCTCGGTGCAGCGAAAAGCGAATTCTCGCGAGCATTCTCCCGACGAGAGCTCGATATTCCTCTGTGGCGTTGTTTGCGAACACGCAAGTCTGTATACGAATAAACACACGTACGCGTGACAATATACCGGGTGTCGGCGAACACTTCGCCGCGCAGCTGCGAATCATCGAAGTATCGTGATCGTAATTGTCAAACGTTTGCAAATAATTAACGAAGTATTGTCGTTTTTTTTTTTTTTTAAGAAACGAAAAATTGTAATAATTACCGCAATTTATTTAAAACTAAATCGTTTGATTTATTTAATTGTTATCCGTTAAAAGTTGGCAAGTCGAGAGTCGTTCATGGTCGCGGTGCCAATTATATCATTATATATATTTCATTTGATTCCGGATATTCTCGACGAGAACATTACTGCTGATCTTTTTAAGGATAATATCGACGTATGAGAAACCGCGGGCGATGGCAATAAATTAGCTTTTCCCGGTGACCTCGATATTTAGCATTAATGCCGTCCGTCCCAACGGACGCGGGAAAGGTTCGTGTGTGCAAGATGAGATTTAAAGGATAAGTCGAACCACTACCGCATTTTATATCCTGAAACCGAAACGAATGGCAATCCATTTCTTCGGTACTTGCGAAAAGTCAAGTCATCATTATTCGTCTCGATGACGGACAAAAAAGAGAAACGCGTCCTTTAACTTCGTTTCGTCAAATAAAAGTGAATGTTAAAGAAATATATTTCTTTAGGGTAACGCGCAAGAGAGAAACTCTAGATAGCTACAGATTGTGTAATTTACATGTAAATTACGTGTTACGAAGGAGATAAACGTTTACTATCGAGTGCAATTTAGCACGTCGGGGACGTCGGTATAAATAGTCGTCGCGTTATTTTTTTTTTTTTTTATCTATAAAATTACCCCCCAACGATTGAAACTGAAACGACGAAACACCCCGTATATTCGCGCGTGCATACGTACGCACGAGAAGAAAGTCCACGTTTACGTCGCGAGTGTCAAGGGATTATTGCTCAAACTCACGAAATGCGTCGGGTCACAGTACATTTTGTGCACTACAGTCGGCTTCAAAAGCAGAAACCTCGGAAAAAGAGGCTTCCACGCGGGCCAAAAAGGGTACGGCGAGGCGAAATTTAATTCGTACAAAAATAAGTCGACGACACTATAACAAACACCGATGGCGTGTTATCTCAAAATTAATTCTCGCCACGGACGGATATATAATTTCCACGGGATTAAAAGTACAAGACGACGTCGAAGGATGCGGTATCCATTAAGCTAATTGGAATTCGGCGCTTCGGCGAAACTCGACTATTACAGAGTATTCCAAAGTGATATTTCATGTAGCCCCTCGTAGCATCGAGAAACGTTAGGCGAGAAGCGTGACTCCGAGGCGACAGAGATTATCTAATCACGCGATTTTTCCCCGCGTCTTACTTTCATCTGCAACTGGTTTTCTGCCACTTGAACGTATACGGTACACACAGGCACTTAGCGAGTCGCGTCAGAGTCGGTAATTATTATAGCGTTTTAAGTGCAGCCACCGCGACACACCGTAATCCCGCTGTATTTCGATAAAATCGACAAAGTGTCAAGTGGCTTTGCGCCAACAGCGCGTGAACACCCACCGGAATGTTTAACAAAACAGTTTATGTTAAACTAAAGCGTCCTAGAAATCTCACGCTTTCTAACACGAGCTGCGCAGTGAAAAAAAAAAATCCTTCTCACATTATCCGAATTTTTGTACGTTAAGTTATTTTACAATACAAAAAGCTATTTTATATATTAAAAGTCGGTTATATGCTTAGAATAACGCAAGCTCTGTAAGATATATAAAGTAAACTATGACATTGAATCTTCACTTAATTGCCACAGAAAAGTAAATTTCTCGCAGCAAAAGCGCTGAACTCTTTTGCTGTTAGCTTCATATTTATTGAAATTAAAATCTAAAAACCCTGCGATCAGAAATTTCGCCGTTCACTCCGTTTCTTTACTCGAGATTCTATTAGAAGTAAAATCCTATTAGAGTCTACATACGTTGAATCCTCGGCAGGTTTACCTTTCTACACAACACAGTTCTTTCCGTTACGCCAAAGTAGCTTGCCCGAAAAATGTCCACGTCGCTCGCACGATTCACCCCGACGGTTACATCCTTTTCAAGACACGCGGAAATGGGCGTGGGCATAAAAGCGCATTCAGTAGATCAAGAACCTGATTTTTTTTTTTTTTTAATAGTCGACACGGCAGTGATTTCTTATGCGCGACGGTTAGAATCTCCGGTTCCTTACCGTTGATATTTTCATTCTTTCGAAATTGAGGCTCCCGGTAATGCTCCGTAGCCTTTTTGAATTATGACGTCAGAAACGAGAAAACACACGATGAAAATTTTTGCAAAATTATTTAAATATGAATTAAATTACTAAAATTATTAAAATAGAAATTTTTTTCGATTACACTCGATAGAACAAACTTGTAAAATACCAAAAACCTCTAACCGAAAATTCTTCGTTTACTCCGGTTATCAATAAATAATCCCATATCTAGAAAATTAATTATTTTATGATCAATCCTAATCAAGAAAAGAGTCACAATTCAATTTTAGATATATTGTTATTTGTTTATTGATTAAAAGCGAAAAAAAGAGTTTTCGCTATCTATATATATATATATATATATATATTACAAATCTGTTTTATCGAGTGAAAACGAAAAACATTTTATCGAAAAACATTTCTATTTCAATTTATTTTGCAAGAATATTCATCATGTGTTTTTCTCGCTTTTAACGTCATAATTCAAAAAGGCTGCAGTGGAAGCAGGAGCCTTAGCATAATGACATTTATATTTTTTTTTATCATATTCCTAACTTGATATATGCATGCACACCGTCTAATGTAATTTTCACGCAGATCCATTATCTTGATGAAGATGAAAAATAATGTGTCGGTCACCGATACAACACGCGGCAGCGGAATTACGAGTGCGTTGGAAAGCTACGTGTGAAATAGAAATAATATATGCAGATTACAGTAATACGCGAAATAATGAATATCTGAAAGAATAATTGCTGCTCGCGCGTAAAACAATTATAAATATGCCATTAATTATATTCGAACGACAAATAAAATAAAGGGGAATAATTTACCTCATGATTGCTGCGCCGTGCCAGACCTCGTCTTCCAGACCTCCACCTCCTCCTCCTCCTCCTCCTCCTCCTCCTCTCAGACTTGTTCGTGGCACTCAGACGCAACGCTCGCGAAAACGTGCTTATTTACGATCATGTTGCGTATAACTCATCGGAATAAAATAATTGCACGGCACTTTGCACGGTATCTCCCGATGTTAATCACATGCAACGCGCACTTTACATCGCGACGAAATCCCACTGAAACGCAATCACGAAAATCACGCGAGAAAGATACGCGATAAAATACACAATTATGCCTGTATGCTCGTTAATTCAACGTGTAATGTGATATCGCTCGATTCAAAACCGACCCGAGGTAAACATTTTACCTCGCGCTATTCTCGTGATCACATTTTGATGAGATTACTTTGATCGCGATGTGCAATTGTAAAGTGCGCGTTGTAATGTGCGATTAATATCGGGAGTACCGGGCAAAATGCCATGCGATTATTCTATTCTGATAATTAGTATTGGTGAGCGTAATTAATCGTACTTTTGCTACGTATGAGTGCAATGGAGAAATCTGAGAAGAAGAGCAGATATTGGACGAGCAAGTAGCAAGGAGCAAGCAGATAATTGTCTTTGATTTTGATATTCGTTAGGTTAATTATTTATCTACAGTCACAATTATTCTTCCATATATTAATTACTCGTTGAGGTGCTACAATTTGTATTTTCTTTTTCTTTTTTTTTTTTTTTTTTTTTTTTTTTTTTTTTAAATTTTTTAACGTTAGCTTTTAATGTCGCAATCCCGCTGTTGTCACCTGCAACCCCGCACTTCGTTTACTTTTTGTAATATTGTAAAATGTTCTACAGAATAATCATCTGCTTTTCATGATAAGCAAATATGCTTCCAATTAATCAAAATTTAACTAGTAAATAAAAAATTCTATTTAACTTTTTAATTCATTTAGATTCATGTATAACTAAATGTAGGTCATAGACATCAGAGACGAGAGTAAAAAGTGTTCTCTTTATTTTTCTTTTACAACAAACATTCAAAAATTTTGAAAGAAAGATAACATAAATTTATAATCCGTACTCCGAGTAGAATTTAAAAAGAAAGAAACTTATAAGAAATAAATTTTACAAGAAAAGAACACGGATGTACTAAATCAGGTTTTTTACGAATTACGAATTCAATTTACTCTCGTCACCGAGTCTCCTCGGTATTCCGTCGAGTTTCGGAATATCGCGCTAAATTTTCAAGTTTCGCAAAACATCTTTTATAAATGATCGTTTGAAACACGGTGTACACCCACGTACGAGTACACGTAGGTAGTTCCCGACGTACCCGGGCAGTCTTGCCACGCGGATTACCGTTTCCACGAATATAAAGCGTCTCCGTGGCCGGCGTTGCCCCCGCCCCCCCCTCTCCCCCCCCCCCGTGTCTATGAAGGAGAGTCGGATACGGAAAACGAAGGTGAAAAGGAAGGAGGAGACGCATGCGGCGCATTCGCGGCGAGAGACGGAGATATCTATCTTTGGGGCGAGATACTTAAAATATAAAACCGCTATTAATCCAACGGACACGCCGGTGCGTTATGAGAGAGTTCGTATAATGGGAGCGTGTGCCCGGGTAAGGAATTACGGAAACGGGGGATTTATGAGTGCCGAGAAATTAAGGATTTATGACACAGACAGACAGACAGAGAGAGCTATCAGATCCTGCGGACCCACGGGACATTGAACAATTCGCGAATTCGGGGGCAGCCGCGACGTTTGCAGCCCCCGGGATTTATGGGTCGACAGTTTCGCGAAAACAAGGCTGTTTGCGCTCCAAGAAGTGTTCGAGTAACTCAGAAAAATATGTGTCAAATTGACCTGTAAAAACAACTCTTTAAAAAACGGATGCACTCCCGATAACCCGATATTTCGTACAACCAGTATTCGACACAATTGCGATAAAACAATGCAGTTTAATATCCCGATTTTTCTCTGTCGGCATTCGTTACAAAACAGAACATTGCAAACGATATTTTATCGGCGCACTATCAATCATTCGTCATGCCATGTAATCATTTTGATTGCAGTAGTGACTGTGTATCGTTTTTCTTTGAAATCATAAAATCAACGATAATTCTCGGGAAATTTCACGCATTCCGCGGTTGCGCTTCCTGACTGATTTCCTCGTAACTTCCTGTATCGCGGGACGCAGGATGAACGCGTTGTGCACGATGACACATCCACTGAATTTCTATCGTGATTTATTAATAATCAAACTTTTTTATTCAGAAACAATTTATCTTAGATAAAAGAATAAAATTTCATATCCTAATATATTTAACTCGTATAAATAGCTCGCATCGGGAATCAAGCTCACTCGGACTTGCATCAAAAACGTTCAAAAATGTAAAAATGTTTTTCTAAAATATGAAATTTCAATTTCTAAGCCGTAAAAATTGTTACTTTATGTTTAAAGCACGTCTCAGTTGATAATTATTTATAAAAAATAAATATGGAAAGTTAAAAATTAAGATCTAAATAAATTGAAACGTGGATCGTGGAACAAATTGACTCTCACGCGAGTACTTACGTCGAAAAAAGTCACGCGAGCATTTACGAGTCTTTATAAAGTCTCTTGGATTGGAAGTAAAAGAATTATTTACATCAATTTACGATATAATACGTGGTATGATATGGCGTGGTGATGATATATATATATATATATTTAGTCATTATGCGGAATTAGCGCATTATTAATTCGAATTGGCGTACTTTTTCGCGGTGCTAACAAGTGATTTCGGCGAGATTACCTCGATATCGTTCCCAGTCATCTCTACTTTCGGTCAAGTCGAATCGCGAGCTCGATGGATAACGAGCGTGTCGACGAGCACGCGTAAATACGGCGTTGGAAAAGTTTCACCGAGTGAAACCTTATAGTCGCCAAGTGCCAGTGCGCTCGTTTAGCTCGCTCGCTCGCCCGTCCGCGATCCGACCTCGTTCGATTAATTTGCCAACGTTTCGCACCCACGAGGCGCCCGTCATTATATCCCGGATGAACGGACAGCGTGGGCCGAGCGTGGAATAAGCAGGAAATTAGAAATATATCCGTGTCACTCTCATGGCTCGCTCGTGCAGATATGGCGGCGAGATCGGTCGCGGAATTGCAGGGAATTGCAATCACTTGCGACGAGCGTCGGATGCCTCTTTTTCTCGCTAAATGAAAAACATCAGTGAGTGAGAGTGAAGACAAAAAGGAAATCTATCAATGTTTTTTTAATATAAAAATAATTCAAATAAATTCTATCGATCTGTGTCGAATTGTGCATATGTTTGTTATATATGTCATAAGCACCTGTTGTAACATGAAGGAACTTGTGTAATCGTGCATTTTTAATATTTAATCGGTTATAAAATATTTCAAAAAAAAATATTAATAAAAATCTTAAAAGTTGTAAGAGATAAATTTTAAGGATAAGTTGTTGTAAAGGATAAATTTTATAATCAATTGGATTAATTATATGATATATCGTATTGATATAATATAGTATAGTGATGTAAGAAATATATTTTAAATAAGATTAATAAGATACTAGATGTAGTTATAGATACTTGAAGAAACATGTAACTAGGTACAGATAAATATTTTAGATGAATAACTAAACATAGACACAATAACTTTTAAAATGTATCTAGATATATTTCTACATCAATTTTCTTTTTTCAAATATTAGTTTGATAATCTTATATTTAGGATTATCTTAAGTACATTTTAATTAATTAGATAGATGCGTATTGACATCTTTAGAGGCTTAAAATGATCCTAAAAGAATGAACTACGAATATTGCTCATAAACAAATGGAAATGATAGTAATGACATTGTTATTCGCGCATGTGTTATTAAAATACTAATGAAAATAGAGACTGAAAGAGAAATAGCAAGGGAAAAAAAATCGAGAGAAATGAAGAAACACCCTTTGAAAAAATTATTTCAAAGTTGTATTTATATAGCTAGAAGAATATTTTAAATAAGATACAGAAAAAAATGTAACTAGTTAGTGAATTAAAAAAATGAACTAACACGTAGATAGATATACAACAAGATTTCAGACAATATAACTAAATACATATATATAAACTATATAAGCTAAATATCTTACATCACTGATGTATATGTGATTCAATAATAAGTTTTTATAACATATATACATATATGCAAATTATATATTATTTTATTTAACAGAGAGAGAGAGAGAGAGAGAGAGAGAGAGAGAGAGAGAGATATACAAGTTA